ATACCTATATTAAATACAAAAAATAATTTTCCACTCATCTCTCTTCTTAATTTAAATATGATGATATATATCCTAGAGATCTAGTTATATAAATATTAATATTCTAAAAAACTAACTTAAAGTCTCTCTAATTAATAATAAAGGATATTAATTCTTAATTATAATAGTATTTACCTCCTAATAGTTAATATATAATTATAAATTATTATCATTCTTAAGTATAAATAAAATAAATACTTTAATAGGATTCTTTAACTTATAAATCTAATCTTTAGCTAGATTCTTTATTAGATATTTTTAAAGTACTTCTTATTCTTTTAGACTTAGCTAATAAATTAAATAATATAATAACTCTTTACTAGACTCTAAATTAATAATATAATTATAAGCTATATATTTAAGTAGTACTACTATTTACTTTTTTTAAAAAGATATTAAGATATAATTCTAAGTATACTAATAGTTTTAAAATATTAATAACTACTAATTATAAGAGATTTTTAATTTTCTTTTTATTTAGATTAATTTTTTTTATTATCATTTTTCTTAGATCTATAATATAAGTGGTCTCTTTATTTTTTATAGCTTAATAGAGTTCTTAGGCTATAATCTACTTTATATATAATTTTGGTATATACTCTATAGATATATTATTTCTATTTTTTATAAAGACTTATTATTATATAATTTTATAACTTATATAATAAAGTATAAACTTAGTCTTCTATTCAATAAATTAATAGTAATACCACTATCTTATGACATAATAGATATTAGGATTTATAGCTAAGTACTATAGTAATCTAAGTATAATATTATATCTTTTTATATTAATAATATTATAAATCTACTAGGTGCTTCCTAATCTATCTTTTAAATTAAAAGTAATAATATTTAATAAAGTCTTTCTATATATTAATATTAAATATCTATTAATTATCTTTGCAACTGTGGCCAGATCTATTAGAAAATATATATTCTTTTATATCTATTCTTAGTTTATAAAATTATTTTTAATAACTCTATTAATTAAAACAAGTGCTTTTATATAATTTTTTAAAATTTATATATAGATATATATATTAATATATAATCTTTAATTCAATTATATAATATGCAGCCTTAATACTATAATAGTATATTAAATCTTATTAAAAAGTTATTTTAAATCCCTTTTAAATCTTTTACTAGAATCTTTAAAATAATAATTCTTCTCTATATATTCTTTTTTATTATAATAAATATATATTAGCAACTCCTAAACTTTTAATCTATCTCTAAAATCTTTAGTTTTAAACTACTTCTAAGAATAATAATTATTATAATAATTATCTCTTTAATTAAATTTATTATTTTAATCTAAATTTTAACCTAAAACTTTATTTTTTAAATCTAAATTTAGCTCTATAATTTACTTCTAAATAATTTAAAGTTTCTCTTTTTATTCTAATATAGAATCTTCTATCTTTTAAAGATATATTATATAATTATTATACTCTTTAGATTTATTATTTTATTATATAGCCTTAATATATATAAACTCTATAATTTAATCTTCAAAGTAATATTTCTGATTCTTATTTATATACATTTATTCTAAAAGATGTTCTAATCATTAAATATAAATATTAAATTTAAATATAATTTAATCTTTTCATTACTATGTCTATTAATATTACTTATTTATATCTTAATATAATAAATTTAAAACATATATAACATCTATTAAAAAGAATTTAAAATCTTTTCATATTATATAATTAATCTTTATCTTATTTTTTATAAATATATCTTATTAATTAAATATTTTTTAACTTAGCTCTTTAACTATAATTACTATTTTTTATTAATTAATATCTTTAAAATTATAATAATAATTATACTTTATAAAATAATATTTAAATTAAAGCTTAAAGAATTTTAGTTTCTTTATATTAATATTATTATACTTTTTTTTAAGTATTAGCTTTAATTATTTTAAAAAAACAACTTCTATAAATACTTATAATCTCTTTTAACTTAATAACTCTTTCTTAGTTATTATTTTAATATTAATTATCTTTTACTCTTTTCTTTTTTTTCTTAAATTAAGATAATTTAAACCTTCTTATATATTAAAATCTTATATTAATAAGCTTATTAATAGTAAATATAGTAGCTATTACTTTAGCCTTTTAAGCTTTTAAAATATAATTTAGACTATAATCCTTTAATATAATATTTTTATAGCTTTAATTACTCTAGCTTTAAACTTAATAAGTTTATTTATTATTATTATTAGAAAATTTTTATCTAAATATTTTATTAATAACTTTAATAGAATTATAAATACTAAGATTTTATTCTAAATTTCTATAATTACTAACTCTATAACTATAGCTTTAGTATTTACCTTATTAGTTACTATTAAAAATATATTAACTTTATCTTCCTCTTTATTATTTAATTTTATCTTTATAACTTTTACTTCTTTGTAAGGCGGAATCCTGGATGGAGTTGGGAATAGCTTCAAAGTACAGCGGGCACGTGACCTCGCCCGGCTTCCCGCCGCTAATTGGACTAGCGGCTTGGCACACACCGCCTTATAACCGCGGGTGGCCTCAGGCCTTCGTGAAGCAGCGATTAGCTGCTGAGCATACGTGTATATACGTTACATATTCGAATCTATTCCTAGGCCGAAGCCGAATCCCAGCTACGTTCTTGCAACCCCCGTCACATTCTTCTTCCTTTATTAGAATCTCTTCAATATCTAAAAAATATTTAATTAAAAGTAATAATTCCTCAGAGACTTATCTCTAAATATATAAAGAAATATATTTTAAAGTCATTCTAAATAATAATTACTAGGCCCTTGTAAAGCAAGCAATTAAACTATAATAGAGATTATAAGAATATAGTAGGATTCAGCTTCAGTCTAAAAATAAATTTAAATATATAATATATATATATATATATATGCTCAGCAGCTAATTACTACTTTATAAAGGCCTAAGGCCACTTATAGTTATAAGGTGGTGTGTGCTAAGCCGCTAGTCTAATTAGCAGTAGAAAGCCAGGCAAGGTTATGTACTCACTATACTTTGAAGCTATTCCTAACTCTATCCAGGATTCCGCCTTACAATATACCAGAAACCTATTAACTTCGCCTGTTAAGAGCTATCCTAGCTATACTCGACGGTAATTAAACCGAAGTTTCCGACAATCTCACTCGGCGACAGGTATAAAGAGCATGATATGTTCAAAGAGATCGAGCCTATCAATTGCACTTCGTAATAGCTCTTGGAGAATATCGGACTTCTACTCCAATTGAGAGCTTTCGCTTTTGATGAAATCATGCAACCGATCTAGCTTCTATTTACCCTGTATATTGTCGAATATTCTGAGCAGGTTTGGTATTGCTTCCAGAAGTGAAATAACAGAGAACAATACAACTCAACTACGGAACGCTCCTAAGCATCACACCTGGCGTTAAAGAAGAAGGATATAACTGTACGAGCCTTCATTCCAATCGCCTCTCTATGCGCGAATTTCATGATCGTCGACTTTCCTGCACCAGCTTTCCTTTTATCCACAAAAAGTCGTCATGTTCGGCTGCTAAGCCAATTCAGATAGTCGGGGTGTGTCAACAACGTTTTCGCAATGTTAGACTTGACACCCCTGCGGTGTATATCAATTTATTCGAAAGAGCCTGTGAATATTTTATTCTTTTTGGTCCTATACGATGAATGACCAACAGATATAATGTGGATACCCTCATTTTTTTAAACAGCCCGTTTGTTTAAGCTCGCCTCCACAGTGCTCTCTAGAATAATAGGGCATAGTGCTCGAAATATTGTCAGGGACACAAGTTATTATTGCTACTTATCACAGCAGTTGATTCAGCGCGGGCCTCAATGGATATTTGGACAGCCAATCTATTGTCCTGAAGCTCGAAGAACTCTACCTTGGCTACTAGGAGCTCTTGAATAGAGATCTGAGACGCGTGCAAACCGAATATGGCGTAGCTACTGATACCTGACTAGCCCTTGCTGGTAGTATTCGAAAGGTCCACAAAAATTTCTTTGCGTTGTGTTGCGAAACTCCTGGAACGGAATGACCTGGCGGCTTCAAAAAAAATGCCAAACACGTTAGCGGTTCAGCAAATACGTTGATCTCCAGAACGCGAGTTTAGGATCTTTTGTGTCATAATAGAACCAGAGTTCCTGTGTATAAAGCTCCCGAGCTAGAATAAGACATGTTGGGCATCGCCTTTCGGGCATCGATTATATTAAATCTCAATCAATTTCTGAATTAATTTTGACGTATCCCTGGTCCGACAGCCGCCCCGTTGAAATTGCAACGTCAACACCGGGGCTAACAAATAAAGTCATATTTCCCTTACAGTCCGTGGGCTGAACTAGGATATACGGGCAACCCGGTATAGTTCGTGTGCTATCCTTGCTTCCTCATGACTCGTGAACTGCCAGTTGTGCACTCTTACTAAACTATTGAGAAATGCCACGAACAATAAAAGTTTGCTAAAGGATTCTTCCCCCAAGGCAGTCGACGACGCTTGAGACCATGGGACTTTTCCCAGACCCTGATATTTCGTTTTGAAAAAAAAGGAGACGGAATCAAGTTCTTCCCAATTCTGAAATCCTTCGTTATCGGAAACACACTACGTTATATACGCAGACAGGATGGTTGAAACATCGATAGAAGTGGAAATTTCATTAAGCATTCTAGAATAGACGATGTCCTATGTTGTGAATACCACCACATACAAAGTATCCCAGAAAAAGAATCACATCCCAAATTTCTTCCAAGGTCCCGCAAACAATATCATCTCAAATCAGACTTCGTCCGAAGACATGTGCTATCGAGATTCTTCGAGAAGCATGTCACTATACTTGACACATAGATGGATTCGTCACGTTAAAGCGTAGTATTGGTTGCTATAGATCGATCAGTAGACATTCGCCAAAGCGATTCTCTCTATGAAGGAAGGAAACAAATACAATTTATGACCAGTATTTCCACTTAGCGGCTTTACCATCGGGGTGCGACACACTAGCACAAGCGTAGGGTACGACAAGTACGTCGTTGATGGTAATGTGATCTCCCGATTCATCGGCGATACAGGAGTTAACGCCGACGTCGAATTCACCGCTAGTGAGAGTAGAACTTGCAGAGTCAATGTGGCCGAGAGGACCAGTGCAGTCTGATCCTGAGTACCAGGTCAAAGACCAGGAGGCCACTAGGGCAGGAGCAGCAGCAAGGCTCAGAAGAAGAAGCTTGGCTTGCATTTTGAATGTTTCTTCTGTGAGATAGAAAGAAATTTCAAGGTATAGTGATAATCTGTTGATTGAGGAGTGATGTTATTCACATTAGGCTGGTCGCTGCCAGACCTTTTATACCCGTATTCTACAGAGTAGCCACGTAGCCTATGCCTTAGTCTGCGACGATTGTACACTCCACTTCGCTAAAATCTTATTCACAAGAATGATTAATTGATCTGATTGCTAGTTGGTCGAAGGCTGGTAACGAGGTCACATCAGCAGCTCCTTCAACTAGGCTAACATATTCGTAGAGCTATTCAAACTCGTTCTCTAGTTGCAGAAATTGCGTTTTGCGTTGTGGGAAGTATGTTATTATTTATACATGCAAGATCGTCTCGTCACTTCTTCTCTTGTATGAACTCCTTCTGTCTCCTATGTATATACGATGGGATAGCTAACTGATGTTGAGGAACCTGAAGCAGAAGCTCCACCTGATCCGCTAGGAGAATAACCCTAAGCGTTTATGGGAGTTACGTAGTATTTACGATTGTTTTTACCTTAATTTATCGGCTTGCATTAAATGAACTGCACTCCGTATAGCTATGTTGGTAAGTCTCGAATCATAAATAACTACTCCGCAGTGATACTGACTCTACTGCAGAGTAAGTAATGAGGCTTTGTTGTGTGGATAGATAGTAATAACCCTGTAAGTTAGTTAACTAACTAACGTAATCCACCCCCGAACCGCCACCACCACCGACCCGCCACTTCCGCCAAAAACGCGTCAAAATATTCAACCCTCTATATTCAACACATCAATATGCCACCAATTCGCGATAAAAATCATACAAAATCTAAAGAACAAAAAGAACAAATTTTATTAATTATTTCCAATTTATAGAATAAAAAAATTCCTAATATTAGATAAGCAGTAAAAATTTATAATATTCCTTAAATAATTCTTTAAGATTAACTAAAAGACACCCAATAATAGTCTTAAATATGCGCTAATAAATATAAATTAACTTAGTTTAAAAAGGAATTGCTTATAAAATAGATATTAGATTTAGATAAGTAAGAATTATCTCTCTAATCTTTTATAGTATAAAATATAGCTAATATTTTTCTTTTTTAGCATAAAAATTAAATAGTTAGTGAAAACTAAGTATATAAACTAATTTAATATTAGTTGAAGTTAAAATCATAATTTTTATAAAGATATAACTATGAGCGTGCTAAATACAAAGATTTAAAGATAATTAAAAAATATTTTAATTGTGTATAAGAGGCTATAATTAAGTATAGAATTCTATTAAAGAATATCTATAATTTTAATGAGATTAGCTTTATAATAAGCCTTTATATAAGTATAAAGATTATTACTAGAAACAATCAATATAGCTATCTATATCTATTATAACCTAGCAATTAAGAATAGATAACTATAATTAAAGCAGTTAACTTTACTAATTGGGCCTTACTCTTATATATAATTTTTAAAGCTACTAAATACTTCTAGGAAAGCTGGTTTGAGATTCTTCTAGATAATTAAAAAATTAATATTAGTGATAATAGATGGACAATAAATTAGATTAGTATAGATTAACTTATTAATTACTTTATTCCTTATATAAATAGCTAGATAATCAGACAATATTGAATATTAATTCTTAATAGCTATAAAAGCTATTTAATTATTGAATTTAATTATACATATACTAAGAATAAGATTATTTTAATCTATATATTTTTATATTCTTCACATCTCTTATAGTCTCTTGATGTTAGCTATTTTATAGTTTTAAAGTAACAATATAAAAAGTTTATTAAATAGTGGATAAGACTTAGCTTTAATTATATTAATAAAATTGACTTTCTTACTATATTTTTAAAGGCTTATATAATGATATATAAAGTTAAGACTATTTAGAATAGCTTTAAAGTAATTAGATTAGTACTATTAGATCTAGATTAAGTTTATTAATAACTTACTATCTAATTAAAGATCTTAATACTATCTTTTTATCTACTTAGTAATTCCTAATTCTCTTACTTTTAAATACCTCAAAATCTGCATTAATTTAAACAGCAATTAAGTATAATTAAATAGTGAATCAGTTAGCGTACACAAAGCCTATCTAAGATTATTAATAAAATAATTAATCATATATCAAAAGCCTATAAGACTAGTATTAATAAGCTTCTTATTATATGAAAGAAAGTTCACGATTTATAAGCTATAAATAAAAAAGAAAAGTAAAAGCATTAAAGATCTATAAAATAAATAACTTATGAGCAAGGAATTACTAGAAAAAAAGCCCAGATACTTATAAATCAGCTAGTTAAAATATTTTAAGTTACTACTACTACTCCAGCTAAGCCAGAGCTTTCAGCCTCTCAATCATGTGTACGCTGCCAATTTCAATGTAGTGAGTGTGGAATTTTCGGGTATAGAAGGCCTCAATGCCCTAATCGTACTAGTAATTAACTTTTTGTATATAATTATTATTTTGGGTTGAAATTTCGGGTTAAAATTAATATAGAGCGCGTTTTTCAGCGGAAGTGGCGGGKCGGKGGKGGKGGSGGKTCGGGGGKGGATTACGTTAGTTATTTGCTAGGGCTGATGTAAGCATAATGCCATAATTATGACCTTCCTTATTAGGTTTCGGCCGCATAGCAAACTAGCCAGGACACGAATAATTAGATATATGCGTTTTCCGGCTGTAAACGACTGGAATCAGCAACGCCGGAAAAGCCGAGCTTTTGTCTGACATGAGAGCAGGTCTAAAAGGCCGAGGGCGAGTTCTGATGAGATATGGACATACAGAGTGCAGTATCATTTATTTTAAAGTTTTGGGGGCCGTTTCTTTGGGCAATGGCGCATCATTTTTTGGTTGAGTTTGTTTTTGGCCCTAAGACTAATCAACTTCAAATTCTTCAAGTCTGACTGCAATTTAGGAACCCTGAGGCCTGTGCAGCTAGGCCTATACAAATTACATACCATCTTCCTGCTGCAATAGGTAATAGTCTAGCAGCTTGTCGAGCCGAACTGTGGAGAAGAACCCATAATATGATATAGCTCCGAGACCGGCCAAAAAGCTCATCAATAGACTGTCGAACTATTTGTCAATCTACCAACTCAATGATCACAGAATATACGGAGCTTAGGCGTTAGTATCGCCTGCTTATTTTTCGCTACTACAGAGTATCTTCTAATAGGAAACTCGAGCTGTTCTCGTTGCTTCTTTCATCTAGATTCAATCTAAATCCTACTGGAAATTCACTACCAATTCCCATTTATCTATTTCAAATCCTTGGTATATTTACAACAATCTGAGAAGTAGAATAGTGTTTACAAACAATAACATCTACTTTTTATTTGCAAAAGACAGAATAGGGAAAGGGGGAAACAAGGCAATTAGAGATAGTTCTTGTCGGCAGTATAGCTCGTCAATGAAAAAGGATCTTTTACGTGGTTTGCTGAACTGCTATTTATGATCGAAGATCGACCCTTCACTCTTGAAGCAAATCTAAGAGTTGCCTAGGAGTCAAGCATGCCTGCTTCATTCGTCAAACTTATGGAAACTTGTAGCAGATATCAGAGAAAGGAATTTCTTTTGGAGGTATTTAGAACTCAACTACCGGTTTCAAAAGTGATTTTTCTATTGTCTGTTTTCGCAGCAGTGCAAGAAATATAACCTCTTATTTTAAATTCTTAACGTCCATTATATGTTATGATCTACTTTGCAGATTTATACGTATTACTTTCAAATCTATCTTCTGAGAGGTGAGCTCCTATATGGTAGTAAACTATGCGGTTGGTACGGGCGTCCAAGAAAAAGATTGATATGAGCCTCGATCCACAAAAGCGTGTTGTATCTAGAATGTGGTTAAAGCTGCATCGTTTGTTGCTTCGAGAGCCCACTTCTAGACTGGCCCTATTCAAATGTAATTGTTGCTTTGCAGACGACAGTGCATTGGAACATATTACCTAGGCAGCAACTGTTTTGCAGTAATGCCGTTGGGCAAGGTGATAGTGTTCTCAAGGCTCACGCTGTATAGCTTATTAAATTCGCCTACCTGTAATTTTAGGATCATGTTGAGCTGGGTAAGTGAAGCCGAGCTTTGTATAAGGTCTCTGTAATAGTCTGTTATTGCTAGGCCTATTCATGAGATTCAATGTAGCAATACAGGGTTGATGTGATTATTCTGCGGCCTAGAACTGCAACAGTGTTAGTTGGCTGGTAGACAACGCTATGGCCCGTTATAAAGGGAAAAAAAGGATGATAGTGTTCATCAATATGTAAATATTTTACTTATGAGAGAGCTGATTTGACTGGTAGATATTTCTGAGTGATTAATTCTATTACATCATTCTAGACATTTTCCTATCTGGAATTTGGCAGCCTTAGCTTGATAGATTCGCTAAAGATGTACTTAAAATCCAATTCGAGATTAGCCGAGTCTAGATTCTGATTAATTAAAATTGTAAGGCATCGAGGCACCAACCACTGCATCAAATGGTAAGATGAAGTAATTGGCCATCCCAATTACAGTGGTTGCGCGATATATAAGCTTGCATGTATGTGTGCCTGAGGTCTTCACAATTTCTGTGTAGACTTTGCCTCACACGAATTATCATGATAACAGGCTATGATTAAGGGTATGCTGCCGATTTTCTTTACTATGCTGAAGGGAGATCATTGAAAGGACCCAAAATAATTTTATTTAATGCAAGCCATTATTACCAATCAAATCTATGATCAGTGTTGCTTTGTGTATATTCATAGCCAATCCTGCTCTTAGCCATGTATATACAAAGGTACTAATACTTAGCATGAGTGATGTTATGCTACTTGTAGGCCTCACAAATCAATCATGGAAGTGCAATTTCTGTATTGACCCTGTCGAGATGAATGGCCGATTAGTCTTCCAAGGTTGGGCGTTACCAAGATTCTCCGTCGTTTGAAAATACCTTTAACATAAGAATTGGACCCGATCAACTGATGGGGTTTCTATGTTGATTAGTTAAAGTATTGATGTTCTCAGCCAGATTTTGTAAATCTGAAAAGAAGAACAGATTTGAGAATACGCAGATTGCTGGGCAGTGAGCAAGGATCCGTCTTTGAGAGCTGCATGATTATCAATAAGATATTCAGTCAAGGTGCTGACCCATTCGACAACAAGTTGTTTAAGAGAACCCTAAAAGCCAATCTTTACTGCCATTTTAGCCGTCATCTACGGATTGGAAAAGCTCTCTGACGACAAAGTGCCTGCGAATTCAATCATACTCAGTGAGGGTTGATCCTCAAGGCACGTTATATGACTTGCCTATCGAAGAGGTGTTCAAACCGATTAAGATTGACGTTCTAAAACTTGTATCTCTCTTAGTAAGATAGTCTGTACATGCCGTAGGCACTCCTGGAAAGATCAACAAAATATACGCTTCAATGTTGGTCGAGGTGGGAACAATAATTGTTAAGTATACCTTTGGAAATAATATAATGATGATCTATTTTCATTGGCCCTCCAAAACTGTCATTATAGAAACTCTGGTTTGATCCAATGCGTTGTGTTGATAGTCAAGCAATTGAATTTTTCTCATTGCGTGTTTAGGAAATGCAGATCATACGTATAATTATTGGACTTTACTTCAAGGTTCAATGAGAACAATAACTTCTCCATTACTCTGTTGGAAAAGTAGCTGATGGTATCAATGTGAAAACGATGCGCAATAACGAGGTGCAGAACATTAACGACGTAGCGTATCGTTAGTGAGTACCAGGTGCTAGTTTTAGTTCACTTTCTTCTGTCCTCTTTGATAATATCAGAGGCCTTCTCAGCCACAAGATACACGACACTTTGAATGTTCCCTAGTGGTTCTAATGGGAAGATACTCGCGTCTACAACTCGTAGGTTGCGTGTACCATGCACAATCAAACGTTCGTTGACAACGCCATCAAGTTCGCGTGGCATCATGGCGCAAGTTCCAGCAGGATGGAAAACGGTAATTACACGATCAGCTACGATGTCTTTTGCATCCTCGAGGTGGTGAGCGGTGCGATTGGATGGGATACGCTTTCCACCTGCCTTTAGCATTGAAGCTAGAGGCTCAGTGGATGCGATCTTCTCAATGTATTGCGTATGCCTGCCAAGAATTTCAACATCAAGCGGGTGAGAGAGTAGTTGTAGGTCGAACGTTGGTTTAACCAATGGGTCAGGAGAAGTTATATGAACGTGACCACGAGAGAATGGATGATTCAACATAACCATAATGGTGATGAATTGACCCGGCGTATCTTTCTTGTTCATCAAATCAGAAAGCGATAACACGTCACGCATGTTGATTTGAAATGGCAGATACAGGTATTCACCAGAAGACTCGTTCGAGTTTTTGAGAAGTTCACAAAGAAGCTTGTACTGCTTCACCAGACCTGGAGATAAGTTGTCTCCATCGATATGGGAATCAATCAGTGTTTTGATCTTCTCCTCGGTCACAGGGCCATTTGCTTCCACAAAGGGCATGTATGCGCCACTAAGCCAACTACCTCCAAGCGGACCAGCACGGGATGATTCATATAGCTCAAGGAGTTGTTTCGTGACCTCGGGGTTGACTAGTGCATCTCCGCTCATGATCCCCTCGGCGAGTTCATAGCTGATGTGAGAGGACGGGTGGTCTTGCAAGTTTTCGCCGACATTTGGATTATCAATTACAACCGGGATCCCAAGAGATTCCAGACGGTCTCTTTGCCCGATCCCAGAAAGCTCTAAGATCTGTGGGGAGTTGATTGCTCCAGCAGACAGAACAACCTCATCTCTTGCAGTTACCGTATGCTGCTCTCCATCCTTTGTTCGAAACTGCACACCTGTGGCGGTGATAGACCCGTCTGATTCGTTGAAAATAATTTTTTCGACAAATGCCTCTACTAGAACGTGAAGGTTGGGGCGTTTGGCCGTGTCGGAATCATAGTATGCCGTCCGTGAATAGCTTCGCTCTCTTGTATCTGGATGAACAGTGTGCGTGTTGGTAAACGCACCAATGGCCTGGCCGGTGATGGGGTCATTGTTGATTTCATATCCGAGCGCTCTGAACGTGTCCATCCAAGCCTGATTACCTGGAGAATAGCTGTCTCCAAAGGAGACTTGCAATGGCCCATCTGTGCCTTGCATGGAATGCTTGAGGTAGTCAAGCTTGATAACATCTGTGGTGGCTTTGGGAGGCGCATGAAAGGTGTGAAATTTCCGAAGGTACGGGAGCACGGAGTCACCCTCCCAACCTGCATTTCCCAGCGCTGCCCAGGCGTCGAATCCTGCTTTGGAGGGATAGAAAAGAGCCGAAAAATTAATACCGGATGAGCCGCCTAGCATCTTCCCACGGGCGTGGCCCAATTGACGTCCTTTCAAGCCAGGCTGAATTTTAGTTCGTCATCGTTAGTGATTATGACCATTTGCAACAGAGTAAATTTTATCTGACTCACCTGCGGTGGTGTCATATAGTCCCAGTCAACCTCGGGGTCACCATATAGCAGGGACATCAACCCGGGTGTGTAAACCCTTGGATCATTCTTTCTATCACTACCTGCTTCAATTACCAAAACATTGGTATTTGAATCTTCTGTGAGACGATGGGCGACCACTAAGCCCGCTGTCCCGCCCCCGATAATGATAACGTCGAACTCGTTATTTTCGATTGAAGCAAAAGACGATGATGGTCCAAGGTGGTCTGCCATCGCTCCTTTTGTCTGCTAAATAGCAATTAAGGGGGTTCTAATGCCAAATATGATGATCGTAATATAAAGCTAGAATGGAAATGAAGTACGGAGTAGAGAAAGGCGACTGGGCTCAAGCGCTATCTATATGAATAAGGATGGAGCACGGCATACCTTGTATCTAGTGAAGGAGCCATCAGGTGGTAGAGCCGGTAGCAACCGCCGGCAGAGCCTGTGTCAAAAGCCTAGTCTGTTAATTCAGCGCTGTCATTGGACAGCTATGTATCAGCGAGGACTCTTAAAGACCGCTATACCAGTAGAGGCAACGCCTGTGCTATCACTTGACACTATCCCCATTACATTCGTTATTTGCGTACGTACGTCTTCGAAATTTCCGTCTTTTAGAAATCATCGTTATGTGGAAGACCAATAATTGGCCCAACTCACTGACATCAGGGGTTGCTTGAGGTTATTTTTGCGACCTTAGCTAGGTTTGCTATACTGCGAGGCTAAACCATAGCTGGTGCGTTAATCATAGAGAACATATTCTTTTGGACAAAATATCAACACTAAATGCCCCGGTACGTCTCGTATGCTTGTTAGTATCCCCTGATTATGCTGGCCTTAGGGTTCTTTCGAAGGATTGTTTATTGTTTAGGTTTAGATAGCACACGCGTATGCGAGCTAGAATATGTAGCTATATTATGATATGCCATTGCGTCTACTCCGTACTTATCGGAGACAATCACAGGACGTGTGGGTGTGCCATGATGAAGCGACGAGTATTACTGGTGTGGGGTCAGAAGTAAGCTAATGCCCCTAGTTACGCACGGCTGGACTTAGTCCATACCAGGCCCCGCTGTGGCGCTTGGGACCCAGTTTATACCATCTCTCGGTTGGTCGGGGCCCAATCGGTATGTGCATTTAACGCCTCGTGGGCTGTTCCTAGTTCCACAATTTTATGGATTCAAATTTGAGGACCGAATAGGATTTGGCAAAAGGTACATTCAACATTTCGTTAATACATCTGCATACTAGGGATACATGTACGTACATGGAGATGAGGACGTGTGTGGTAGAAGAAGGTATCAAAGCCCACGTAATCTCGCGACATGTCGCCCGGGGTCAGATATCCCGGTTATCAGGAATGCCAAGGCCCGTCTGACCCCCTGATAACCGGGATATCTGACCTCAAGCCTAATGCTAGAAATAATACAAGAAATCGATTTTTACACCTTGTACGAGCTGGTTCCTGTACGAGACTATACAGCGCTACAGTCAACTAAGCAGGCGGTCAGAAAGGCGGACGGTTTTCTATCCAAGGGGGCGAAAATCATCGTTCGGCCGCACCGGACGTAGCCCTTGCTTTCTACACCGACTTTTAGTGGTCAATTGAGCTCGGATATATGATATCCCTGTATTTTCGTACGAGGACCACTTATATTCCTTCTTAGAATCTATTTATAGTATGGAGGAGCCTCCGTACAAGGGCCTCTCGGTCGAGCAAGACCGCCAGCTCAATTTACAAGCAAAAGTCTCTTTGCATAATCAAAAGGTTGCAACACGTATCCAGAATAATCGGCCAGACAATACCAATCGACAGTACAATATCCGGCAAAAGGAATTCATAGATTTCTGTACAAGCCAGGGCTTTGATGACGGCTATATTGTTACCGAGAAGAAGCTAGTTTTTTTCCTGGATTCGCAGGTCCTTAACCGTCCAATCCGGAGCTCTCGATATCTAAAGAATCGTACGGATACGGAGGGCTCATCTATCGTACAAACTATTGGACATTCATCTATCAAGGCCTACACCAGTGCCATTGTTGATCTCTGGCGCTTCCAGCAGACACTGGGTACGAATCCGAATCCTAATCCGCGAGGTCATCTAGTTGGAGCCATGCTTCGGAACCATAAGCAAGATGAGACCAAAAGGAAACGGGCCCAGTATGTAGACCGAGGCCTTAATACCCTCCAGGACGGGTATACAGAGGATAATATTAGAGCATTCGTACGATACTGTTGGTCTAATTGGATAAAAGAGAATAATAAAGGCCGGAAACCACAGGCACAGGAGTCCTATCTTCGGACGGCAGTGGACTTCCTCTTCAGCCATAATATGCTCCTCCGAGGTGAGGATCGACGGCATCTTGAGATGGCAGACCTCTTTACTCTCTATATGGACGAAGGGCCAACTCCATGTTGGCCGATGATCATGATGAAACTGAATGGCAAGACCAATCAATTCGGCCGCCTTGAATATATGGCAGTCGTACGACACCGTGATCCCCTGCTCTGTACGATATGCCATACAGCTTTCTATCTCTTTTACCGGTGGGAGCTCATGCATGAACCGGTGCCACAGTTTTACCAGCGGCAGCAGTGGTATGATTTCCGCATCTTCAAGGGAGCATATCCAGATCAATCTATCTCGTACGAGATCCAATTGAAATGGATCAACCAGGTATTCGATGCTATTGGACTATCCTCCAAGAAAAAGACACACTCCGGACGATCTGGGGGGGCAATGCATGCAGAGCTTCAGGGAGTAGATGAGAATTCAATCCGGAGAGCTGGCCACTGGAATCAAGATAGTATGAGCAATTGCTATCTATCAGGATTGCCTCGGTCATTTATTCGTACACTTGCTGGCTTCAAACCTACAGATCAGGGCAACTACTACCTGCCACGGGCTTCACTGGACCCTCCAGACACTCTCGTACGAGCTCTCTGGCCATGGGTCGATCAGTGGCTTTCCTGGTTCGCCTCGTCCGATCCAGATGAGGCATATAAGCTTGGCCTGCCTCCCTTGCCCCCTTTGGTGCGGCAGGGTGTAGAGAGATGTGATCAGGATGACCTAGCAGGGCAGAGCTTCCTAAAACTTCTCAATCTGTTTCGTACGACTATTATCCAGGACTCTGTCTTCCTTCGAGAGGAATTCCCTGGCCATTCAATATGGTCTCATCCCCTATTCCAACGGCCAGATTATCACCAGTTCTCCGAGCAGGTCCGCTCTGTAGCTCGTACGGCCTCAACACCTCATGAGATTCAGCTCCGTCAGACGATCCCTCTTGTGGCCGATCAGATATCAACTATTGGGAATAACCTAGAGCAGATCATACAATTGAATCATCAGCAAACCCAGCACTCTCTCCGTACGATTCAGGCTCAGATGGACCAGTTATTATCCGGAAAGATTACCTTTACTGCAAGGCTTGCAGGCTTCAATGAACAGAATCAAACACTTGCCATTCCTGCTCAAGCAGCTATCAAGGAAGCAGCCAGCACCTCGTCCGACTCGCCTGCCGCTGTGGCTACCCCAGATCCCGTACGAGATCAAGATCCCTTGTTGGAACTGCCTCAAGCCAGCAGTCTACCTCTCGATGCTCCTTCCTATCGAATGTCTCGTACAATACGCACGGTGCGTGAGCTCTGGGATGAGTGGTACTCAGGCCTCAATGGCAATCCATCAATTCAATCTCTCGAAGCCTCGTACGGATGCAGCTGGAGGCCAGATAATAAGGAGAGGGTGTTCTTTAGCCGTAGGAAGGTCATCATTGATGAGATACACTCACGGGCTTCTCATGGCATGTCATTAGCTGCTGCAGTCGAAGAGGTTGAGCTCGTACGAAGGAAGGCGCATTGTACGCTGTACCAGCTGCAGGTCTTATTGAAAAAGAATGTACGATAGGTGAATTGAACCCTGGAGTTAGAGTCAATGAAATTGAAGTCATATTAGATCTCTATACTCGTACGAAAAGGGAATAGCCTAGCACGTCCACGTCCAGGTTCACGTCAACGTGCTGCCTTCCTTCCCAATTTGGTCATATAAGACAAATCAAACAAACAGCAGGCACCAACCACCCACCTCTTAGAGCACCTCCTTCCCATCTCAGTCTTCCTTCTCTCTCTCTCTCTCTCTCACCACAATCGATCATCATGTCGCTCTCGTACGAAGCCCCCCATGCTTCTCATCTATCTAGGTGAGCCTCCAAGCTTGAATGAATGAATATGCTAACAGTTCCTCGTACGATTCGTCCATGGCCGAATCGTACGAGTCACAGACGCAACAACGCCGTCGATTTCCCCTCCGCCACCGCTGGCCCATCCTCTGTTAGGGAGAGGATGATTGCCCTCATCCAACGCCTGATTGACCAGGCCGAACAGGCAGCTCCGTACGGTCAGGATCCCATGGTTATTCTGCCCCCTCAGGCATTGGACTTCTGGTGCTCAAGTCCGCAGAGCCGCGCTGCACAAGCACTTCCTGTGCAGAGAGGAATTTATTTCAAATCTGGCAGTTTGAAAGCCTTCCAAATTGTGTCAGGCCGCCAGTCGTACATCAACGCCCTGTTGATCGCTTCGCGTGGAGTTGTTGGTCCCCCGTGCGGTGCCAGTTGCCAGGCTGATCGTACGAACACTCCATTTGTCCAGTGTGTCCGCTTGCCGGGCCACTGGAACGGGTGCTGTGCAAACTGCAAGTGGCGTGACTGGGGAAGTCACTGCCCGCCCGTACGAAGGCAGATAACAGGAGGCACCAGAATGGCTATCCCTGGAAGGTCAGACATGGTGAACACTGTCCCCCGTGCTCCTGTTCGTCCGAGTCAACCAGGCGGTGGTGTTGGCCGTCCGATTCTCCTTATAGAGGATGGGCCAGCCGGTGAGTCGGAGGAAAATCCGATTGATCTTGATCCTGAGCCTGGTTCTCAAGAGAACCCCTATGAGATTGATTAAGGTACGTACGATTTTCTTACTGTTTTCATTGCACATGCATATGCACACACACATCATCATCTTCTTTCTCTGGCACTGGGACGGCAGCAGCAAGGTATGTGTAATTTTTCTTTAGCCCAGTCGTACGGGCCATGTGTACGACACCTGGGCAAGAACTTGCACCTCTACGTGGTGTCCAGGATCAGTAGCCGTGCAGAATCTCTGTGCGGCGAAGCGAAGCAAGTCATCTAGCTTGAGTGTGTTGTACGTACGGTAGCAATGAAGCCAGCTTTATAGCCCTAGAACTTTTATGCATGCAGTCCCCATAGTAATAATTACTAGTATTATGTAAGATTTTTTTGACGGCAGAACGATTCTTACTCGTACGAGTAATCTGACCCCCATGTAATTTTGGGGTATTGACTTTGTGAAATTTGTGCGGTTTCTCGGCCGCATTTAGTATGGAGGCTTGGCATTTCTCGCGACATGTCCTAACAAATCTGACCCCCATATAACCGCTAGATATACACAGGATGATGACACGCGGAACTTAATATTGCCGCCTCTTCCCGCACCTTTCTTGGCGGATGTTGATCACGTGATTTGCAGGTCCGGATGACGCGGCGAGAGGTGGAGCACTCAGCTTTTGCACTGCTTTTGCACTGCTTTTTGCGGTAATACTCCCGTATTTCTCCTTAGTATGCTGCTCTATACAAGGACACACTACTCTACTTTCGTATACCATACAGCAGCACAATTAAGACATTTGAATTTGATAGAAGGAGTGGATTCGAAGCCCACACTTGGTAGTATCCTATGTTGGTTAGAATGCTTGGTTCCGTGGGAGGATCTACTGTCGATAGGCATAGATCCCGCAGTCAATGTTAACCCAGCAGAGAGAAGTATGTGTTAGCCTCGTTTCAGCAATGTCGGTGGATACTGATAATGCCCTGGGCTACTCGTAGTTAGGTGACTACAACATGCTAAAATAAACTATAATACAACCGTTGCGGCCTGGTCCTCCGTGACTAAATTGACGCTTGACGTAGTTAAGCCTTAGACCTAAAACGGAAATCCTGGTAGCCATTCGCCTTTCAGCATTCCTTTCAAACCCGCCCAAGAAGGATAGGCCGCACTGACTTTTAGTAGGGGATGACGTTTCTAATCTGACAGGAGCATCTCCCGCTGAGCAATTAGTAAAGGAGCGAAGAAAAAAAAACCATCTCAACTTTGGCCGCAAATGTATCCTCCAATCCGGAATTTACATCATTATATCTCCCACCATGCCTGACTCACGGAGAGCAACAAGCATTTATGAATGACATTTCCTGACCGTGAGAAAAGTCAACACAGAGTGGAATTGCGCTTTTTGCCACCGGACACCGATGAAAATATACGACTGAGCCCATCATTATATACCTCTTAACTGTGATCGCACCGAGTGAACTATTTCATATCAAAAGACAGTTTCTTGTAGCCCAGTGAAAAGCCGTTCTCACCCAGGGGAGTCTGCGAACCGAATGTGAAATATGGTGAAGATATACCCTATTGACTCCTTTGGACGGGTCTATCATGAGGTCATAGCGAGCGGGTGTTTGGTTTCTGTTGCCTCCGTGGCACTCTTCATGAGACTCACAGCCCGATGGTCCAAAAAGATACCCCTGTGGTGGGATGACTTCACAATAATTGCCGTTTGGGTATGTCCTTTCATGAAGACAACTGAGTTGATTTTATTACCACATACTGACCGTAGTAGATCCTCTTGTGGGCGATTCTTGCGATTCAAATAAAATGTGAGCTCTATGATGGCTGTGAGGGATAGAATACAGCAGTGAATTCTTTTCGACTAACTTAAGAGTAGATGCTCAATATGGCATGGGAGATCAAATGACGACCATTCCTCCAGGCAACGTGGTACTCATGCTCAAGGTTTGGCATTCCTAAAAAAGACAAATTTGACTAAATCCCTGACATTGTATAGATCCTCCCAGGGTTTCAAGTGCTATGGGGCACAGCAATGTCACTTGCCAAATTTTCTTACATGTTTTTCTACCTGAGCGTCTTCAAAGTCAGCAACAATTTCCGTCTGTTGACATTCGGATGTATGGTCGTTGTTACTTTGTGGTGGGTGGCAAACATATTGCAGATATTCGTTATCTGCAGACCTTTCAAGATGAATTGGGATTCTACAGCCCAGGGGACCTGTGGAAATCGCCCTTTAGCTTATGCACTTGTCGGAGCCTTCAACATAGCCACAGACATCACGACTTTGCTTCTGCCAGTGCCAACAGTGTGGAAACTCCAAATGCCAATGAGGATGAAAATTGGAATCACTGCTATTTTTTGCATAGGTTTATTGTATGTTCTCCCCATCTGCCAGAATCAAAGCCTAGGGTTTTCTACGCATATTTACATACTTCGCTTGAACATAGGATCACGATCATCAGCATCATTCGTATGAAGTCTCTGGTTGTCCTTTCCTTCACTGAAATAAGCAGTTCCATGGTCGACCCTGTTTTCTGGACAGTGGTGGAACCGAGTCTTGCCGTAACGAATGCCTGCTTGCCAATAATTCGCCCGATCCTCGCCGTAGTAATTCCCGGCCATCTTTTTTCCAGCGCCTACAAAACACCAAAGAGCGATGACGTGAGGGGATTTGGCAACATCGAGGATGGGACATATCCGCTCTCGCCACTCAATGCTGGGTCTTCAACGAGTCATATTAGAAGTGATCAAAAGCAATCGACTGCCGCTGCTGCTAGTGTGGAAACAGACGATGATTCTCAGCGACGTGTTTCCAATGAGAATACTGGGCCCTTGGGACGTATAACACGAACGACCGAGTGGGAGGTTAAACATTGATACATTGTTTAATTATTTCCTTTTTCAGAGTGAAAAAAGGTGGGGGGAGGGGGCACATTGTCTACCAGGCTCATATCTCATTGTCTTTGTGTACTTAATATAAGCTCAAAAACTAAGTTGGGTACCTGACATTTTTGTAACCTAGAGGTAAATCAATAAACATTCGGGCTTTTAGAGGTTCGCGTGCATCTTCAATGGGAAACTGTGCGAGGTGGTAGTGTTGGTAATCAACAGTATTTAATCAGTAGTCCTGAATGCCCACGTATGTACAGCGCCGGCGGCGAGTTTCATCTTTTCCCTCACAGGCTCACTCAAACTTTGTTCAAATATTCGAGCAGATCCGACCACATAAGTGTTGGTAGGTTTCCCCTCAGCCATAAATTTCCATTTCTATCTCTGCCCATAACGATGAAAACAGGCATATTAAAACCACCGCTCTGCTTACCATTATCAGCATGGTAAAAGATAGGCTTTCCTCGCGCATCAGAATTATTCTGCGTTGACTTTAACACGGCCGGGCCGAAGTCAATTTGATCTATAACACGGATTTTGCTCCAGTTTGAGATCATGGCCAATTTCATATTGATATCACCAAATACCGGTTCCCGGCCCCTTCTTAGCATTGTATCTCGTCCTATGGAGGCGAGAGCTCTTATCTGACTTTCGGTAGCCTGCTCTGTGATAGCATTTCGCGACTCAGAAGCCAGCTCTCCAAGCGACATGGTTTGCGCACGATTAGCTGTAGAAGATAAAAAGATAGCCGACGATGCGTTTAGCACGTACGACATGTTAGGCCAAAACACTGATGGAGCCCGGGTGCGCATATTAATCACCATTAGAGTCATGACACGACGTGTTGAACCTTTTGGAAGTCCTCGCGACGTGATGTGGGTGGCCAGTGCCGCGAGAACATCTCCCTCACTAATAAAAGCTTTCTCCCTCTTCACGGCGCCCTCGCTCTCGCCGCCAACAAGGTGCGGCAGCTGATTACGTGCCTCTTGCACTATGGCATCTATTGTCTTGTGTGGAACGCAGATAGTGCGTGCTTCTACCGGCGGGTTCCACCAGGACTCAAACAAGAGCCGCAAACCAAAAAGTACTAGGCGCCAGCCTGTGAGCATAATATCAGACAATACATGCTCCTTGGCAGGCGGATCCTGGGGGCCGCACAATTGATCCATGGGGTCGTCGTGGTATGTAGCAAATGGTGGCACGTCTCCCGGGCGGTTGGCCAGCACCAGGCTCCAGGCTGAGAGGATAGTAGCGACGCCCCCCAGGTCGGTAGTCACATGGCTATGACCCAAAGATACAAGTGTACCGTCGGCGAATGTTACTACATGCAGGGAGAACTGTGGCAAATCCGAGTATATGAAGTCGTCGAAGCAGCGCGCGGCACCTGGACCTACGCCCAAGTTTTGGAATTCACTTGCGTTGGGGACCACTGCTGGCTTATCGCCGGCTCGGGGTAGTCTGGAGGCTAGTGGATGTTCGGACATGGGAATTGTGTATTGTTCTTTCGTGAAATGAACTGCCGGTCGCTGCGGTGTAAAGGCGCGAGGAACATGGATCTCGGCCTTGCCATTGGGCTTTTTTCATTGTTAGGATCATCGACGCAAATGGCATGGAACAGGTCTCTGAGAAGAGCTGCAGTGCTCGGAATTGGAGATAGTAGAGACAGAAAAGCCACTACCTCTGCTGCTTCAATACTTACGCCAAGTCGTATCCTTCCTCCAAGGCGCCGCCAACCTTCCATCTCAAAAAGTTGAGATAGCGCGAGGTGAAGCTTGTCGGGGTCCAGCACATCTGCGAAGTGGAACATCCACATATATGTGTAGCCACGTAGGGCAAATGTATCATCAAGGAGGTGGCATGGGAGGACTTCATCGGTGGACACAATTGGTGACGGAACGCGCTTTGGCCCGCAGTCAAGGATGCGCGAGAGCAAGGAAGTCATGGTCCTGAACGTTGTTGCTTGTTCGTATGCTTCGGTTCTTGCAACATAGAATGCTAAGCAACATGCAAGCGGGAATTGGCAAGAATTAGAGGGATTCTTAAAGCACAATTAGTGAGAAATTTCTTTTCATAATCCTGCGAGGCTGACTTACACGAGGTCAGAGTCAAATACCGCTCAGTAGTAAGCAGTAAGCACTAGCCTTTTATGTCGCCATGCTGCTGATGATTCGGCCTTCCAGTCCTACCTTCACAATCTACAGAGTACGGAGTACAGTTTTTCTCATTATAACATTGCCAAGGAAGTCGTGGGTTACGAGTTGGATTTGAATGGGCATAGACATCGTATATGTTTAGTGAGCCTGCTCGAATGATTAGTTAGTTGACCACTTGAATAATACAATACTTCACCGCCTCCCACACGCTACCACCTGCGGAAGTACCTGCGGGCCACCTATGAATGAATCACATATAGGGAAAATGTGGGGCTAGATATATCTTATAAGGATTATCTTATATTTTAATTCATACTATAGATTATTAAAGGATTTATATAATATTAAGAAGGGTAAATAGTTTTTATTAATTAATATTCTATATTATTAAAATCTTCCAGAAATCTAGATTATTAGGTACTAATATATAATAGAGATAATTTATAGATATTTAAAATAGAAGAAAGTATAAGTAGAAAAAAAAAGCTAATAATTATTTTTTTTCTTTTTTTTTCTCTCTAATTTAATCTCTTTATGTTTGTGACGGGGGTTGCAAGAACGTAGCTGGGATTCGGCTTTGGCCTAGGAATAGATTCGAATATATAATGTATATACACATATGCTTAGCAGCTAATCACTGCTTCACAAAGGCCTGAGGCCACCCACAGTTATAAGGTGATATATATCAAGCTGCTAGTCTAATTAGTGATAGGAAACTAGATAAGATTATATACCTATTATATTTTAAAACTATTCCTAACTTTATCTAAGATTCTATCTTATAGCTATTCTTCTTTTTATAAGGATATATCTCTAAGTCTAAAACTTTATAGGCTTATAGAATTCAGTATATAAAATTAATAGTTTAAGTTTTTGTCGGAAACTTCGGTTGAATTACCATTGAGTATAACGTAACCGGTAAGCCACCCGGCCATGTAAGCGACCCGGCCACCTCCGCCCGGAAACGCGTTCTATTTCAATCTTACAACTTCAACGCGTTAATATGCCACCAATTCGCAAGAAAAATCCTTCAAAATCAGCTGAATTAAAAGAAAAGATTTAATTAGCTATTTCTAATTTAAAAAATAGAAATATTTAAAGTATTTATAAAGCTATATAGATTTATATTATTCCTTATATAATTCTTCAAGATTAACTAAAGGGAATATAATATAAATATATAAAATGTGCTAATAGTTATAAATTCACTTAGTTTAAAGAGGAATCGCTTATTAGATAGATATTAGATCTAGATAAGCAAGGATTATCTCTCTAGTTATTTATAGTATAAGAAATAGCTAATTATCTTTTTTCTTAATATGGAAATCAACAAGTTAAAGAAAAATAGATTTATAATCTAATTTAATATTACTTAGAGCTTAAATTATAATTTTCTTAAAGATATAACTATAAATATGCTAAATGCGAAGATTTAAAGATAATCTAAGAATATTTTAACCATATATAAGAGGCTATATTAGAATATAGCATCTTATTAGAAGATATTTATAATTTTAATAAGACTAGCTTTGCTATAGGACTCTATATAACTATAAAGATTATTATTAGAAGTAATTAATATACTTATCCAAAGCTATTATAATCTAGTAATTAAGAATAGATAATTTTAATTAAGACAATTAATTCTACTAGATAAACTCTATTTTTATATATAATTTTTAAAATAATAAAATATATACAAGAAGACTAGTTTAAGATTTTTTTAAATAATTAAAAAATTAATATTAATAATAATAAATAGATAACTAATAATATTAATATAGATTAATTTTAAAATTACTTTATTTCTCTTACAAATGGCCATATAATGAGAAGATATTAAATGCTGATTTTTAATAGTTATGAAAGTCATTTAACTGTGGAATTTGACTATATATATACTAAGAATAATATTATTCTAGTCTATATGTCTTTATATTCCTCTTATCTCTTATAGTCTCTTAATATTAGCTGTTTTATAATTATAAAGCGGAAATATAGATAGCTTATTAAGTAGTAGATGAGGCTTAGATTTAATTATATTAATAAAATTAATTTTCTTATTATATTTCTAAAAGTTTATATGATGGTATATAAAGCTAAGATTATTTAGAAAAGCTTTATAGCTATTAGATTAATACTATATAATCTAAATTAAGTCTATTAACAGCTTACTATTCAGTTTAAGACTTTTATATCTCTTCTAAATTAATTAAGTAATACTTAATTATCTTACTTATAAATACCTTAAAATCTATATTAATTTAAATATCAATTGAGTATAATAAAAAGGCATATAAGTTAGTATATAAAAAGCTTATTAAGTTTAGTTGATAAGGCAATTAATTAGATATCTAAAGTGTATAAAATAACCACAAATAGCCTTATACTTCTAGAGAAAGAAATTCATGATTTATAGACTATATATAAAAAAGAGAAGCAAAAACACAGATAATCTAGAAAGTAGATAGAATATGAGTAAGAAATTACTAGAAAAGAAGCTCAGGCGCTTATATAAAGTTAGATTAAGGCATCTTAAAGTGTTACTATTACTCCAGCTAAACCTAAGCTATTAGTCTTGTAAGTGATTGTACATTACTAATTTAAGTATAGTAAATATGGTATTCTTAGGCATAGAAAGCCTCAATGCCCTTATTGTACTAGTAATTAGTTTTTTTATATATAATTATTATTTTGGGTTGAAAATTGTGATTAGAAATTCATATAGAATGCGTTTCCGGGTGGAGGTGGCCGGGTCGCTTACATGGCCGGGTGGCTTACCGGTTACGTTAGCTAGGATAGCTATTAATGGGCGAAGTTAATAGGCTTCTAAGATTGAAAGGTCTGGTAAGATAAAAGAAATAAGAATAAGATTTCTAAATATCCTGATTAATAGAAGATTGTATATTTAAGTTTTTATAGTTAATTTAAGATGATAGAAGAAAATTAAATATAGGGTAATGTCAGAGAATCAGAACGTTACAGCCAATGGATAAGGGAAACTAATGCATGATGGAACAAAAGATTATCCGTAAACGCTAGGGTTAGGGTATCATAGAAATCAGAGCAAAGGCTATGATGGTGACAGCGGATTATGACCGCTATTCCGAATACAGCATGTAATCCACAACCAACATTGTATTTCACAGAGGTGCATCTAATTAGCTAGAATAGGCATCAGATATATATCCTAGTTGACCCCTATTCTGATCATAAATATAGTCTTAAATAACCCCCTAAATATTCTCTTTAGTTAGATATGCAGATTATATAATATTCTTAATACTAGCTAATATAATATTCTGAATCTGTTGTTATGATAGTATGTCTTAATAGTATTAGATTTCACTAATTCAAAAAAGAAACTAATTAATAGGATATAAGAGCTTATAAATAGCTGAATCCTGATTATTGAAGTTATTCTTAATTTATATATCTAAGAATTATATCTTTACTAATTTATAGTTCTTATTAGAAATAAATGCTGGTAATCTTATTAAAATATTATAAATTTAGTATTAAAATAATAATAATGATTTGAAAGAAGGTTAACTTAATTAAATAATTATATTTGTGACGGCCTAGTACGATTTGGCTTGGCGGCACACGGTTACTGCAGAAATACCCGTGGGCCGCCTCCCGTAGACAAATCACATGCAGGGAAGATGTGGGGCTAGATATACCTTATAGGGATTACCTCATGTTTTAATTTATACTATAGATTGCCAGAGGATCTATGTGATATTAAGAAGGGTAAATAGCCTTTACCAGCCAGTATTCTACATTATTAGAACCTTTCAGAAATCTAGATTACTAGGCACCAGCACATAATAGAGATAGCCTATAAATATCTAAAATAAAAAGAAATATAAATAAGAAAAAAGGGACTAATAATTATTCTTTTCTCTTCTTCTCTCTAGTTTAATCTCTTTATATTTAGCAACTAAATAAATTTAATATTATATTATTATATTAAACTAAACTCTTATTTACTTACTAATACTAATCCTTATAAATTTATAAATAGACTAATATCTTAATTCTAAATAACTTAATATGCTTAATTCAAAATCACTCTTTTTCTTATTTTATTATCCTTAAACTAAGATCTAGATTCTAGACTTAGAAACTAAAATAATTTAATCACTTAAACTAGCACTGGAGAAGCTAGATAAATATCATCTATTATATCTTCTTCTAGAAGTAAAAGATAATAAAGAACAAAAATCTTAGAATATTAAATATAAGATATTTAAAAAGTATATAGATAAGAATCTAGTTATACTATTTAATTAATTAATATAAAAACAGTACAAGAACCTATACTAAATTAATATATTAAAGAAGCAATAAGACATCTATAAAAAGATTATTATAAATTAATATAAAACAATAAAAAAATTAATAAAAAAACAAAATCTCTTATAACACTAATTTATTAAACTAAGCCTTAAAAAACCTTCTTTTATTACTAAAGATAGTAGCAAAAAAACTATCAAACTTCCTAATAGATCAGCCCTAACTAATAAAAAAGATTCCTCCTTTAAATCTTAACTTATCAAAATTAAAAATAAATTAAAAACTAATATTAACTACTATTCAGACTTCTTAACCTATATAATATATATATAATATATATATCACAGAGAAATAGTAAACTATATTCTTCTCTAATTCTAAAATAATACCACCAAACTATATAAAGATATTAAAAATATTTTTAAACATCTTAAAACCATCTATCATAACATAAACTAAATTATCAATACAAAGACTATATTTTACTATC